CCGAAACCAAGAGTTGGATGCTCAACCAGCTGAGCCACCCAGGCGCCCGAGTTTTGTATCCTTTCTAATGGAACTCTTTAGAGGCATAACTTTTAATGGCTCTCATTGTTGTGTTAAAATGAGTTAAAAGTAACTCATATTATATTTCTTTGTAAAAACAAAATATTAAATTGCAATCTACCAGCAATTAATTAAGCCATAGAAGAATCCTATGGATTAATTTCTAGGTACCGATTTTGAAATCTATGTGTTATGGGTGGATTGTGCCTCCCCCACACCCGAAAGAGATATTTTGGAGTCCTTAATCCCTGTACTTCAGATCATGACCTAATATGGAGATAAGGTCTTTACATAGGTACTCAGGTTACAGTGTGATCATTAGAGTGGGCCCTAATCCAGTATGACTGGTGTCCTCATAAGAAGGGGGAAATTTGGACACAGAGAAAGACACACACATTCACACCCACACACACACACGCGCACACACACACGGAGAATGCCACGTGAAAATGAAGACAGAGACGGGGGTGATGCAGCAGAAGCTAAGGAATGTCAAAGGTTGCCAGCAAACCACCAGAAGCTCAAGGTGAGGCATGGGACAGATTCTCCCACACAGCTCTCAGAAGGAACCAACACTCACTTCACCTTCAACTTGAATTTCTAGCCTCCAGAACCGTGAGACAGTAACTTTCTCTTGTTTAAGTCACTCCGTTTGTGGTACTTTGTTACAGCAACCCTGACAAACCAGTACATTACCTACTACTAAGAATTCTAAGGACCTGTGTGCTACCAGGTTTGTGTCTTGAAAACTGTTGCCAGGGTTGCGCTATCTAGTTCATCTCATTTAGGTGGGTTAGTAAAATGAAAATAAAGAGCAGCTGGTGATGTCTAAGGGAGCATAGTTATCTGCCACACATTCGGGATGACTTAACTACTCCATTATCTCAAAATCTTTTTCCCCCCAAATCTTTTTATTACAGAAAATTTCTAAGAAAAATATAATGAGCTTATTTAAGTATTGCTGAGATTCAGTATTAGTCACACATGGTCAATTTTGATTCCCCCACTCAAACCCTCCCACATCAAATTATTTTGAAGAACATCTCAGACTTTATCTCATTATTAACAGCTTTATTGAGATCGAATTGACCTGCCATATAGTTCACCTCTTTAGTGTAAAACTCAATGGTTTTTAGTATATTTACAGAATTGTGCAACCATCACCATAATCTAATTTTAGAACATTTTCATCATCCCCAAAAGAAACTGTATTCATTAGCTGTCATTCTCTATTCCTCTCTCAAGCTCCCCATTTTATCTGTAAATATTTCATATGTGCTTCTAGAAAGGTAGGAACTATTTTAAAAATACATAACAATATTACCACATACAAGCTTTTTTAAACAATAATTATTTAATATCAAAGATAAAATCGTGGTCACATTTTCTTGACTACTCTGTATTTTCAGTTTGCTTGAACTAGGATCCAAATAAAATCCTTACATTGCACACTGCAATTGCTTGATATATCTGTTAGTTTTCTTTTCATCTATAGGTTCTCTCTCTCTCTCTTTTTTATTTTTCCTTACAGATTTTTATTGAAGAAAATAGGTTATTTGTTCTATAAAGTTTGCTAGGGTCTGGGATTTTCTGATTGTATCCTTGTGTCATTATTTGCCATGTTCCACTATCCCATGTATTTCCTATATATAGGTAGCTGGATCTGGGATCTCAATCAGATTCAGTGGTTTTTGTTTGTTTGGATAAGACTACTTCATAGGGGGCGCCTGGGTGGCTCAGGTGGTTAAGCAACTGCCTTCCGCTCAGGTCATGATCCTGGAGTCCGAGGATCAAGTCCCGCATTGGTTCCCTGCTCAGCAGGGAGTCTGCTTCTCCCTCTGACCCTCCTCCCTCTCATGCTCTCTCTCTATCATTCTCTCTCTCTCTCAATAAATAAAAATCTAAAAAAAAGACTACTTTATAGATAGAAGCGTCGTGTCAAAATCTCTTTAAAATATTCTTTTATTGTGAAATACATCATACCTGCAGCAGTGTATAAAAATAGTTATATAGTTTAAAAAAGAATAATAAAACAAACATCCAGCATCCATTGCAGGTTAAAACAGTAAGAGTATAGCCAGGTCCTTAGAAATACCCAGACTCCCTTCGCTAATGAAATCTCCAATTAAATCCTTCTCTTCCCACCCCCTTCCAGAGGTAAGCACTATCTTGACTTTTGTGATAATTATTCCTTCAACTTTCTTTATACCCTTTATAAATATATTCCTAAAAAGAATATTGTTTGGTTTTGCCTTTAGGTCTATTATTCCATGATTTGCTTAACAGAGCCCCCCAACACTGTTTTGAGATTCATCCATGTTGCTTCAGATAACTGTAGTTCATTCATTTTCACTGTTATATAGTATTTCTTTCTCTCTCTCTTTTTTAAAGATTTTATTTATTTATTTGACAGAGAGAGACACAGCGAGAGAGGGAACACAAGCAGGGGGAGTGGGAGAGGGAGAAGCAGGCTTCCACTGAGCAGGGAGCCCGATGTGGGGCTCGATCCCAGGACCCTGAGATCATGACCTGAGCCAAAGGCAGACGCTCAACAACTGAGCCACCCAAGGCGCCCCAGTGTTATATAGTATTTCATTATATGAATATATTAGTTTATTCTTTTGTAGTGGATATTTAGATTGTCTCCAATTTTTTGACATTACAAACAATAATGCTGTGAACATTTTTGTGCATGTCTCCTCGTGCATGTGTGTAGAATTTCTTTAAGGTATATATATATGCCTTAGAGAAATACAACTTGTTTGTCTCTTTGCTTGTTTTGTTTCCTAAATTCCACATGAGTGAAATCATATGGTATTTGTCTTTCTTTGTCTATTTCACTCATTTATTATTTGACTAATTTCCTTCCCTCTTACCACTTCTCATAGAAATTTCTGCCTCGTGCCCAAGATTCTTTGAAGAAGCATCAAATCTTCATGATTTTTTGTTTTTGAACCTCGCTCCACCCAAGCGGATATTCTGCAAACTTGCAATCATCAGTTTCTTTTAAAGCTTGCAGTAATCAATTTATAAAAAAAAGGTAACGCATTTGATCTTGGCAGTTAGGAGGCTTACAGCCCATTTTTCTTCTCATTACTAGCCTGCTTCATTGCTTTTATCTCTTCATGCCTCACTTAACTCATGCTTCTTCCTCTAGTTCTTTGTTGGACCCAAGGTAGACACTTACCATTTTTTAAAAGCTATTAATTGTGATAAAATGCACCAAGATGATAGTTACCATCTTAACCATTTTTTTAAATGTACGGTTCAGTAGCGTTAAGTACATGCAGATGGTTGTGCAACCAATCTCCAAAACCCTTTTCATCTTGCAAAACTGAAACTCTGTACCCATTAAACACCAACTCTCCATTCCCCCCCTTCCCTCCCACCCAAGGCAATCACCATTCTACTTTCTGTCTCTATGAATCTGACTGCTCTAGGTACCTCATACAAGTAGAATCATGCAGTGTTTGTTTTTCTGTGACTGGCTTATTTTACTTAGCATGTCCTCAAAGTTCAACCATGTTGTAGCACGTATTAGAATTTCCTTATTTTTTTTAAAGTCTGAATAATAGCTCTTTGTATGTATATACCACATTTGTTTGTCCATTCATCTGTAGATGGAGATCTGGGTCGCTTCTACCTTTTGACTATTGTGAATAATGCTGCTATGAATGTGGGTGTACAAATCTCTCTTCGTGACCCTCTTTCAGTTCTTTTGAGTGGAACTGCTGGATCATATGGTAATTCTATTTTTACTTTTTTGAGAAACTGCCATACTGTTTTCCACAGTGGCAGCACCATGGGAGACGCTTTTGTTTCCGTCATACCCTATGGGGTAAAAATTATTGTGCTATAGATTACCGCTGAGGGAAAGGATTGTATGACCAAGAATGAACACTGCCAATTATCATGCTTTATTAGAAAATTATTTACATAATTAAAAGCATGGAATTCCTAGAATTGGGATTCACCTTATAAACCATTTGGTCCACTCCCCTCATCTACAGGTGAGTTAGCGGGGACTGAGAGGGCAAGCGGCTTGTGAGGTCAAAGGGCTAGCTAAGGGAAGACTCAGAAGTGGCATCCAGGGTTTTCCAATCTTCAACTTACTGCAAAGAAAATAATTTTCAACTGGAGATATATATTCGTCGAAGAACAAGAATTATGGAATGGATAATTCAAAACATCCTCTGTGTGTTTTGCTTTTGTTTCTATGGCTGGTTTTTAGCCTCCCTAATTGCCTTGGTTGACATTGAAACCGAGCTGCCTTTCTCGTTGCCGCTACTGACTAGGTCCTGAGCATCCTTGGAGATGGAGGGGCAGACAAAGAAAACCCGTCCGTATTTAGGATCCACCGAGTTCGAAATGCGACCCTCTGCTCTTCCGCGCGCTCCCCAGGGCTGCGGGTGTGTGGCGCGGATTTAGCTGCCATCCCGGGGCCTCAAAGACCCCCGCCCGCGAGGAGGACGGTTTCTGGCTCTCTGCTGTCCCCAAGCTCCGGGATCCATACGGGAGGGTTCAGGGACTCCCCCCCCGGGGGGGGGGCAAGGCAGAGCCCTTGCCGCGCCCCCTCCCCAGCCACCGCGACGCAGCTCCGACCACTTCCCCGGCGGACCTGCGCCCGATCTCCCCCGTAACAGTCGGGGAGCCCCGGGCGCCGCGGAGTGCGGGCTGCGGACCACGGCGGGCACGTGGGCTCGGCCGCAGCGCTGCGCCAGGCACCGGCTCCCCGGCTCGGCCCAACCTCTCGGCTCCCGCCTCGGCCCCTGCCGGTGGGGAGAGGGATCCTCCCCCCTTCCACTTTGCACCAGTCCGAGGGAATTTGCGGTCGGTGACGCGCATCCTTAAGCGAGCCACCTGCAGCGCGGGGCGCGCCGCTCTGGGCGGCATCGCAGGGCTGGGCCGGCGCGGCCTGGGGACCCCGGGCTCCGGAGGCCATGCCGGCGTGGGCGCGCCGTGGCGGCCGGCTGCCGCTGCTCGGTAAGGCCCCGCACGCCCGCTCGCTGCCCCCCGCAGCCCCCGGCGCGGCCCTCGCCCCCACCCCGCCCTGTGGACCCGGGCGCGCGCCTCCCGGTCCCCGCTGCCTCGCTCCTCCCCGAGCTCGCTCTTCCCTCACTCCCGCGCCCCTCCCCTCTTTCGCGCCCTCCCGGCTCGCCCCGAACTTGTCCACGGCCCCCGCCTGCCCACCCCACGGCGTCCTCCCTCTTTTCTAACGCCGCCGCTCCGGCTCGGCTCGCGTTCCGAACGGCGGCCCGGACTCCGCGGGCGGCCTCCTGACGCCCTGCCCGGGGCCGGGGCCGGAGCTGGGGCCGCGCCAGCCGCCTGTCCCTCCCGGCGCCCGCGCTGCCGCCCGCTCGGCCCCCGCGCTGGGTGGTGGTCTGTCCGCCGAGGCCGCGGCCCGGACGGTGGCCCCAGGTGGCTCCGGACCGCGCCTGGACCGACCCGGGAGACCGGAGACTCCCGGGTGGCGTCTTGGACTCTTTTGAGGTTCTGATTTACGGAGTGAACTCTGAGGGGGAAAGGCGCCCGAGTTCTCCCCCAGAATTAGTCATCCCGAGTTAACGACCCCCGCCCGCGCCGAATTTCGGTGGGACCAACGAATAGCTACTTTGGAAATGTTATGCAAACAGGATTTACATATGAAAATACTAGCTGCCCCTTCTAACTATACTCGATTTTTATCCCGGCATTAAACCCCAAGGGGGTTTTCAAGGACTCAGCTGACTGTTCCCAAATAATCTCCTGGATGGCATAGTCAGCAATGTGAGGGAAAAAAATATCCCCTTTATATCTATCTCATCGATTCGGAAAGATAAGAGGGTTGTTTTGCATTTAGGGTGAAGGAGACATTTGTGGGAGCCTTGGATCCCTGTCCAGTCCTGCAACCTTGGGACTGGCACTCACCGCCCCAGCCCCGGCGTCCTCCTCGATCTCCGTCCAGTGGGGGTGCCCGGGTGTCTCCGCCAGCTCCAAAATTCGAGCATTCTAACTTGAAGTCTTTGTGGTACATAGAGAAACTATTTTCATAATAGACGTGCAGGAATTATGTCCAATAGCTTTTTGTTAAAAATAATTCAGGATTAGAGAGTAAGAAATGTAACAAGGGGGAGAAGAGTGGGAAAACAGACCTTTCGCATTTCTTAAACATTTACCTTTGCTAATTGGTAAATATGTACATTTCAAATGTACCGTACAATATGTTTTTCAGTCTATTAATACAAAAAGCTGGCTCTCTGTTACGTATGACATTAAGTAGTAAGTGAATTTTTCAATAGCATACAGAGGCTTACAAAGATTCGTACTTGCAACTATATTTAAACTGCACTGAATTCCTTTATATTTAGGAACAATCTCAGAAATTTCTACATCTCGTTCCAGATCTTTCTAAATGAGGTATAATTTGCATACAGCAAATATGCACCCATCTTAACAGTACGACTCCATTAGTTTTTATGTGTGTATGTACCTACAGAACCTTGGGTATAGATAGATAGCAATTCTACCCCCACCCCCTCTCGGTCAATATCCCCCCAAAGGTAGCCACCACTCAGACTTTTAATACCATCCCTTTGCCTGTTTTTGCCCTTCATGTAAACCAAATCATCCTATGTACTCTTTTATGTCCAGCTACTTTCACTCAACTTTGTGATTAGGAGATTCAACCTTGGTCTCAGTAGCAATGGGTTTTTGTTTTTTTTTAAACTGCTGAGTGCTATTCCTAAGTATCAGTATACTATACAATTTATTCATTCTGTTGTTGAAGAACATTTAGGTTGCTTCCAATTTTGTTCAATTAGGAATTACTCTGCTGTGAACATTGTTTTACATGTTTCTGAGGAACATAAATAGTCATTTTTTAGGGTGCTACCCACCAGTAGAATTCCCAGATCATAGATTCAGTTTTGATAGAAACTGTCAGTTTTCCAAAGTGGCCCTACCAACTTATATTCCCTCTGGCAGCTTTTGGGAGTTCCAGATCCTCACATCTTTACCAATACTTGGTATTACAGATTTTCTTGAGCAAAGGAGCAGAACGTGAGAAACTTAAAGTGAGGACTTCAAAATATTTAAAAACTTTAAATTCCTTGAATTATAAGATGCAATCCCCATTTCCCTTATATTGTTGGCTCTACCTCTCATGAATAATGATGAAGCTTTCTAAGTAGGGTTTAGAGAACGGAAACGTGCTCTCCAAGGTCTTAACTGCATTATGTGCTGAGCCTGGAGAAGAGGAGGGGGATTTTTCAATATTTCCATTAGTATGATGCTGTCTCCTTCATTCACGTCAGAAAATTCATAGTCAGAGCCTTGAATTACACATTTTATTGTCATCCTCTGCCCTGTTGCTTTTTTTGCTTTCTTTGCCTTCTTGTGAACCACTAGCCTGAGGGGAGATGATTCAGGAGGAGGTGGAGGGAAGGGACGCTGGGCAAAAAATAAGTTTGGATTAGATGGGACACCAGACTTGGTGTCCTGATAATCAGGTCCCCTTTGATTCTAAAAGTCTAGTTCTAATTGTTGCTGTCATATAAATTTAGATCGGCTGTCCATTTCTTCTTAGGTACTTCATATCGACCCATAGTAAATTATCTCTGAGGCTGAGTTGTGAGCTCTTTGCCTTCCATGAAAGAGTGGCTCTACTTTTTATAACTAAAAAGGCACTCTCAGGAATTCTTGGTTATTAATCAAGATTTTGTCATTGTTGTTGTTGAGTTCTCCTGTCACTGAACTGCGAAACAATCAGGTGATCAGATAGTAAATGTGGAGGAGGATGACTTTACTTACATACCAGAGAGGACTTCGGGTAAGAAAGTTGGGGAGGAAGCATGCATTAGAGAGAAGAACGTTTTTTTATCTGATAAAATTTTATTGAACACGTATTTCTGTGCTGGGCACAAGGGGTACAAGGATGAAAGAGACTGAGGATAAAGGAACTTACATATAATAGCTAATTCTATTCTATTTATGAAACGCATGGTCAGTGCCTTTCCCCAGGAAAAGCACTTCAGCACAAAGCTGCCTTTGAGTTAGTTAAACCTTCCAACACGGTTGTTCTGACCACTTAATATCTGTAGATGAAAAATAGCATGCTTCCATGAAGGAAACTTCAATCAGCTCACAATGGGAATCCCAGGTTTTTTGGTTCCCTCAAACCACTTAAACGTACATATACTGTATTTAATGGTTGTGGGAAAGAAACTGCTCTTCACTGAAACTAAAACAAATGGACTGTTCTAGAGTTCAATATGGCCATTTTTTAGGTCTTGGGAAGAAGACATTTTCCACCTCACTTTACTTCCAGAGAGCATCTCTCTCCCTTGCAAAGCCCACAGGAAGTCTCAGTGCTAGCACTTTCTCCACAGTTCTTTTTGTTCCTGTCATCTTGTCACTCTTCAGTGAAACTCAGCAAGCAGTGTGACAAGAGCCCTTAACGTTCAATGTTCAAGATTACAAGCGTGCCGACTCCTCAGACACCCACCAGATACTGCCTTCATCTTTGGGTAAAGATTCTGATTTGACAAACAGCAAATAACCTCAAAAGTATTGTTTCATATCATTTTTCTTGATGTTGAAAGGGACCTTGCGGAGACAGGACTAAGAATTTGGAGGGGGGGATACAAGGATTGAAAATTAGCTTAGCCTGCTTTATAATTTGTGTATTTTGGTCTTGCCCCTGTGCTCTATCCTTCATTCACTCCGAAATAACAGACTCTTGTGAATCTCACTATAAGTGGTTTGTCTGAGTAGAGCTCCTTGGTTTTTGTCAGGTGACATGGTGATCTTAAGACTTTTCCATGACTCCCAAAAGAGCCTTAGCTACTGCTTAGTTAGGTAGCCATAGTCATGTGGCCAAAGGTTTTTCTGTCTTTTGGAGGGGGGGTGGCCTATGAGCTTTTTATGTAGGTGACTTACTTACATGTGTTGCCACCTTCTATGGCTATACCATCAGTGGTCCTCAAGTGATAAAAGCTTTTGTAGAACTCACTGAAGGTCGTTAATTTGAATCATGCAGTTCTGTTCTATGGGTACCAACACATGTGGAGGAAATTTAAAAATAATATAAAGTACACACACACTGTTCTTTTGTGGCTAGAGGAATTGCATAAGATCCTAAAAGAGGAACTATTGTTATTTTTTAGGTTTAAACAGTAAAATATTTTTTCACTGCTGTCATTATAAGTCAAATGGTAGCCAAGAGTCCTCCAAAAAATTATTTACAGTCTACACTAAAGCATGATATTGTCATTATTTATACAAACTTATGTTTGGATTATAAGATACTCACTGAACTCTGTCTTCAAATGCTTTGCTACTTGAGTTAGGATTTTCCTAATGGTAGGGATTCTTTTCTTGGAGGCAATGCAGATAGATAGATATATTAGGAATAACAAGACAGTTAGGAAACATGTGTTCTTTCCTCTGGCAGGGAATTTCTCTGCGCTTAAGTTCCTCATTTGTAAAAAGGAGATAAGCAGTCTCCTACTCCTTCATCAGATAATTCCTGTAAAGTACAGCGGCATTCCTTGTTAGGCAGGTGCTTTGCAGAAAGGGAAGTATATAATGTCTGAAGAAATCATTAGGATTTAGAGTCCCAGGATTTTCCTCCTTCCCTTCTTAGACACTTTTGAGCACTGCCTTTATCTAGGACTTGTGTAAGTCCCCATAGTACTGGTTCCTGCCCTCAAGGAGCTCGCAGTTTAATGTTGGGGGTGTTGGCAGGAAAAGGTCAGGCATATAAAAGGGAAACTGCAGTGCAATTTTGGAAATATGCACAGAGACTGATCCTGTAATCCAGACTGAGAAAGTAAGGCAAGGGTTCCAAGTGGAGGTCCTGCCAGAGCCGGGACTAGAAAGATAAGAAAGAGTTGACAGGGAAAGGGGAGGAGAAGGACGTTCCAGGCAAACTGGACAGCAAAGAAACGGTAGAGAGGTAAGAAACATGCAGTAGATGGAAAAGTATAGTTCCATTCTGGAACTAT